CACCCGGCACAGCGGGAGCTGACCCCCCTGACACCCCGCTGAGAAACAGAGGCCCGCTTCCTCGGCCTTCGGACCGTGTGCTAACGGACGATGGAGACAAGTGGAGACGTTTGGGTCTCGGAGTATGATCGGGAGAGCTGCCTGTTCCTGCGTTCTTGTGGGAAACGGGACGAGAGGGATGCTTGGACCGGAGTGTGACCACGTGGGAGGTCCGCGTCCCGGGAGACTGCAGAGACGTCCCGTGGTGACGAAAGTTGTATGCTATGTAGGTTGACGAAAGTTGTATGTTATGTATTTTCCGTCATGCGGTGATGTATTGCCTTAATAAATGTTTGTGATTGTTTTCAACATGTGAAAGTTGCAGAAGGTAAATGATTTTAAATATTAGGTCAGTCATAAAAATTAAGTCAATGGACCCTTTTCCAACGTCAGTGCGAACGCCTGCCCGCCATTGCTTGCTCTCATACTCTGAGCATATACTGAAAGCGAGCCCTGCGTCAGCGTTCAGCGAGAACTCAGATCCAGTCACGCACTTCGTGAGCAAGCAGTGCTGACCGCCATTGTTGCTTGATGGACTTTTGAAAAGGGTTTACTGACTAGATAGATACTGTAGAAACTATTTTACGAGAACATGTAATGTTACTGTCGGTTTTGTTTACATTACTTTCAGACGCCCGTCGGAGGTGCGTCAGCCTGTGACCAACAGGGAAAGCAGATGCAGCTCGCCTCAAAGAATTGCATCATTAACATGCACGAGCTGCTTCAAAGCCTGAGACTGGAAGACTAATAAAGTAGCCTGCGGGTGGAATGCATGTTCACAATTTCTCGAAGTTCGAGCATTTCTCTGTGCATGCACTTTCTGCTATCTTGCATAGGCTTTAAAAGGAAAGTGTTTCCCTGCTGAACTTCATGTTTCACTGATGAGTGAACCATGTGGTTCATACGATCGATATACACCAATACGCGGCCCTGACGTCACGTCGCTATGGTGGCGCTGCTACTGTTAGGGCGCATGTGCAGACGCTTTACGTCACGTGAATGTCGTTCTTGCGCACACGCAGTGCCCGCACCTCGTGTGGAAACTGAATTTGCCCCCACCTCGTGAGGGCTTGTTGGTAAATAGTGCGTTGGCCTATAGATCATATCAACGATTTAAACTGTATGAACAATATCATCCATAACAACCATATAGACCATACAAACCATATGGACCGTACGAACCATGTGGACCATACAAACCGTACCAACCCGTATCAACCATATGACCCGTACCAACCGTATGACCCATATGACCCGTACCAACCATATGACCCGTACCAACCGTATGACCCGTATCCCATAAGGCTATATGAAGACCCGTATGGAAAATTCATATGGTTTTTTTCAGTAGGGAACTCATATGACGGTATCTTGTACGAATGGCAGTACTTTTTCGAAAATATGAGCATGATTGAACAAAGCTTGCGACATCTGTATTCTCCCCTTCCGTTCTTTTTCGAAAAGGTGGCCATCCAGTTGAGATATTGCTGCATGAGTGATGTTTTGGGGTCTGTAGCATCCCACTGTGTGCTTCTGGTGCCTTATTTTTTAAGTCAAATTTCAGTACAGCACCCATTTAACTTTTAACTTTCTAACTCTAAACTAAAATAAATGTACCATACTTTCCAAACTATAGTGCACAAACTATATATGTCTAAAAGTTGATATTTTACACTGTACGGTCTATCTACAGGTGTGGACTCTACAATTTTTGTTTCAAGATTGTTCATTATTACAAAAATGGTTAGGTCAGATTGCCGTGTTTTGGATATTTTACGCTGGGATAAAGTAATGAAGACAACCTCTTACCATCAGTCTGTTCCCCAGGCTTTCGATATTTCGCATCTGACATGTTGTTTGCTTGGGATCCCGCAAGCAACCAACTTGGGTCAAGCTTAATCTTGAGGAGCTCTGTGATTGGCTGACGAGCGGATCACAGAAAGCCCCTGGAATTCATCCGCAGATATCCCTTTTGTGGAGTTCTCCAGCCTGAAGTTTTCCCTGAGGACTATACACCTTAGTGCGGAATATCTAAGAAAATACTTTTTCTTTTTATCCGAAATTTACCCTTGCGCATCATACACCGGATTGTATACTATAGTCTAGAAAATATGGTAGCTTATTTTAATGTTTTAAGCCCTAAACTAAAAGAAGTGTAGCTTGATTTTTATGCGACTTTAGGGTCCTAAACGAAAGTCGCATATTCAATGGAGCAAAAAGAATACACTCAAAACGGAAGGCATCTAGATTGTTCTTTTGTTCTAGTCATTTTATCAAGAACAATTGTGATTTACTGAGGTAATCTGTATTGATTTTGTTTTGTTTATTTTTTCTTATTTTTGCTAGCATCTTAAGCGTACGCTGTGATATTTAAAGAAAATATATTTGGTTATTTGTATGGAGGAAATAGCTGGTTAATTAGTTGTGCTCACATAATAGTTCAATAAATGATTATTCATTTAGTTTGGCTTTCATTGACTCAAACCCCCCCCCCATTTTTTCTCGATTTTTACTAGCACCTAGGCCTATATATGCTGTGATGTTTCATAGAATGCCTCAAGTATTGTATTTTGATATGTGTGTGGAGGACATACCTCCTTATTTTTTTGTGGTCACATAATACCTCAATAAATAGTAATTAATTTAGTTTTCCTTCCAGTTTTTTTTTCTCATTTTATAACAACTTTTATTTACTTGCAGCTTAATCACATGCTGTTTGTATGCAGCTGGTGCCACTAGCCATGCCTTGCGCGAAAGTGTAAACGTACTACGGCATACCAAGTATGACAACTAGTAACCACCTCATACGCAAGGCGAATGACCGACGAGCCAGAGCAGGATGCAAGGACCAAGTATCGGGATTGAACAAGCTAAGCTCCTTGTTGTTTATGTTTGTACCATACACTTTCCCACACTGCATAGTTTGCATGAGCAAGTGCTGATTAGGCATGTGATGCATATCACACTTCAGTGTTGGCAGTTTGACGATTCGACACTTTTAAGGACACATTGAGATTGGTGGCAGCCTCCTTTTTTAAAATGATGTTTGAGAATGTCTCCCACTGATCTATTCTAGTATACGAGTATTAAAACCATCGAGCAATTAATAAATTCAGAAGCTTTAGGAATGGAACAAATTCTGTGATATTTTTCTTTTATTTTCCTTTTAAATCTTGTGGGAAGTAAAACTTAAATCACGCAAGATTTTCCTGTAACTTCCGTTTGCACATAAGTTAAGCTTCACAGTGAAATATTACCTTTTCTGCCTTGCACATCTTACCTTCATTTTCGGAAAGTGCATCCATGCACAGCTGCTTCAAGTAGCATGTGTGACGATGCATTGCAGACATATCAAATAGTAAATCCAGTTTCTGTAACAAGGTCCTATGCTGGCATTGTACTTTTGCATCTCCTTAATTCATCACTTATCTGGTCTGCATACTTCGTGGTTTTCTGGTTGCCATACCTGGCATACCGAACCCAGTTTGACAGGTGCTGAGATGCAGGGTGATTCATTGTCATCGGAACAGATTCTTGTAAGATAAAACTTCTGTTTCATGCAAATTATCTTTTTACCGTTGAGTTATACTTGTCCTGGCAGACACTTTATACAGACAAGATGACAGCTAAAAGTGGACTTATTGCATAAAATCCATGAATTAGCTTTTTAGTTACTGGTTTGATGGCACCAGCACATAATGTGAAAATGGAGGCAGTCACCTTCTTAGGCCAGCTTATTTTTTTGTGAAATGAGCACTAAACTCAGAAAAAACGATTGAGAAAGATTCTTGCACACAAAACGGGTTGTGGGATACAATACCGCTGCCTTTCGTGAAATGATATTTTCTCTCTTTTTTGTCTGTGCGCTCATTTCAGGATTTATAAAAAAATTGTCTGGTTTAAGGAGGTGATTGTCTTCAATTTCGCAACAGCTGTCGAACCAGTGATTGAAAAAGTTAATCAACTAATTTTAAATAATAGTCCACTTTTAGTGCCAGCCTGCCTGTGCAAAGTGTAGGCTTGGCTAAGTGCTCATCTGTAACGAGATCCTGTGAGTAAATAAGATAAGTTTTGTTTTACAAAAGTCTATTTCGATTAGAATGAATCATCCTCGAGCACCTATTAAAATCAGAATCAGCACCCTTGGATTGGGGTTCATTGCTCCGTGCACCCTATACCACTTCAAACCCCTATAAGGTGCTGTGGCACAGGGGTGCTCGTTTGCACCCTCAAAGGGTGCTCGTCCTGGGGCAAGTGCTTTGCACCCCTAAGGAGTGTAAAAAAGTTTAGTGTGCGACGCACGTTTGTAACATTGACCGAGTACTCACATTAAGGCAAAGCGGGCTTCTGACGAGCCAGCGACAATACACAAATTGACACATCCCGGGAACCAGCAGCGACGGCGGCAGGACCCCCGAAGCGGTGGCAACTTTCTCTTGACGTGCCACGGACGTACTCAGTGAGAGGCGAACAAGAACGGAGGCAGCGGAGCTTGCGACGGTGTTTCCGCAACCCGTTTGCCTACCGCTCCGGTCGCCGGATGGGGCGGCCGCCAGAAGAAGCTTCTCCGCAGCAAACGGTGCCCGGACACGTGGATTCTGCTATCGAGACCTGGCTGCTCAAGATCGCTGTCACTCAATGCCCTTCGTAGACCGCTACGATACCGGGAACTCTACGCTCAAGGCCATCGGCTCGGAGGCGCATTAGCGGCTTCTTCGTTGCGGAGGGCATAGCGGAAGGGGGAAACGCGGTCTACGAAAACTCCCTAATTACCAGAAACGGAGCTCGCTCCAGGGAGAGGAGGTTTCTAGATTTCCCTGGGGCTGAACATTATTAGCTGGTCGCCGCAGTTCCCCTCGCGGAGCAAATGCCAAAGAACGAGAAAGCGCTCACAGGACAGCTGCCGGGCTTTGACGTAAAGCAACCTAGCTGCCCCCTTTCCCTTCTACGCAGGGGTGAGGATGTTAGCGGCCACAAAGGGCCTCGCGATCAAGGTTGATTTCCGTATTCCGACCGGAGCTAAAGAGTTTGCCGGGAGCACTCTCTCAACGTGCACTGGGCAAAAGTGCTCGTCGGTGTTTGCAGTTTTCTTCCTCCACGCTACCCGACAAAGGGACCGCGGCTCGTCGAGTCACTGCCTGGTGTCTCCGCGCTACGGCCGACAATTCACTATGAAATCGAACTGCGGGAGTTCTTTTTGGATACGGGGCATCGTTCTCTCCTTCATCCTGTGGTCCGGAGCAGTGGGCGATGGGACGGCCGCCGACGTGCCGGCGGGGGATGTGGGCTTCAACAAGACTTGGACGACGGAGGCCCCCGAGCCGAACGCCCTGGCCATATTGCGGGAGATGCTCCAGACCCTGATTGATCAGGCCTACGATTCGTCAGCCGAGAGGTTCCTCGGTGTCAAGTTGTCGCCGCAGTGCAGTCTCAAGCTGCTCAAGTTTGTGCACGCGCTGCGGAACTTCGAGCCCTGGACAATAAGACGTGAGTTCACACCACACGTCCTGCCGCGGACACTTGTGTGGCAAAACATGTTGGAACTGAAAAAAAAAAAATCGATGCTACTTTTTCGTTCAATTTTATTTTTCAGCGTAGAGAACGCAGAAGTTACTTTGAAGGTTTAATATGTAAACGTTTTTTGCCACAACCTTTCTGAACCGCACTTATTTCAACGAAACAACACATTTTTCTGAAGAAATATCAAATGGTGCAAGGGTTAGTACTGGGTTCGGTCACGATGACTGAATGATAAATTTCTAAATAAAGAGCGTTTTATATTTGATAAAACCAGAGTGTCGAACCGGAACTGAACCGAACCGAAAACCGGAACCGAACCGGTATTTTTTCCGGAACTGAACCCGAACCCGAACCGTTATATTGTTATCGCGATGAACCCGAAGCGGAACTGAACCGGAAAAAAATAACGGTTACCGGCTCATGTCAAAACGGTTCGGCCACGCGCTGTTGAAAATGAATGTGCTATCAATGCCATTTGTTTTTTAAGTGCCGTCAACTGACACACACCTCGCTTGCATATTTTTCTTCTCCAGTCAGTCTTAGGAATATAAACGCTGCATCCATGAATCTTGACAAACGCTGCATCCATGAATCTTGACATAGGAACCAGTATTGCGCTGGTCGCGGCTTGCACGGAAAAAAAAGAATTGGAAGGCTGTGCAAAAAAAAAAATCGGTCAAGGGATTTAATTTTCCTACAATCTCGTAAATCCTAAATGCTGATGTGTGCTCGTTTCATAACGCGTTTCTAGAACGCGCGAGTTCTTGAAGCTTGCTTCCATCGGAATGAGAAAAAAAAAGGCTGTGGAGTTTGATAATAATGCATCCGGTTTCGTATAGGCACTTAGAAGCTAACATATTTGTGAGACATCAAACTCTTCTATTTTAATATGTATCCTATTACGTCCTTCTGGCGTTGCGTTCGGGGAAGTGATTTTCATATTCCGTATCTTGTTTAATGAAAACTTCTTTAAGGGTCTAATTTGAGTTACCGAAGGCTAGTTCAAATAAAGATGCTTACACGCCGAGGTGGCGGGATAGTTAGCGAGTTCTACTTGTAAGTGGGTTTGTAAGGAGGTCGCGGATTTTAGAGCTACTGCGTCGGACCCAATTAGATGAAGTCCGAATGCGTAAGCGTCGGTGAGGTAACCTTTGAGTGCACGTAAAGAAACCATTCCTGGTAGAAATCCCTGAACCTTACACTAAGATGTATCCCGTTTCGTATGTGCTGATTTCAGATGTTTTATTTGTAATTTATTTTAATGTTCCAATTTGTCATTTATAATTTCCGAACCGGTTCGCGAACCGGTTCAGCGCCCCAAACCGGTTCGCGGATCGAATTAATCGAACCGGAACTGAACCGGAACAAAATAAATTTACCTGAACCTGAACCGGAACCGAACCCGTATTTTTTTCGGTTCGACACACTCGATAAAACATATGTTTTTAAAGCAGCAGGTAATAAAGCCCTGTATTTACTCACGTCGATTCAAGGTGCATTAATGTCTGCATGGAATTCGGCAACTATTACATCAGAGGTTTAAAACGTATCCACCGCACTATAATATTATATGACAGCATATTCTTGTTGGGTTTTAGAATTCTGAAAGTGTTAATGACAAGGAACTCCTCGATTTTGTCGTGCAAACCTTTACGAAAATAAGATTTATCGTGCTGCGCCCACTGGGCACGAGGTTGTGCACATAAGATGCTATCGCACCGCACTAGCAACTCTATAAATGACTGTACAGATAATACATAGGAAGAGTGCATGCAGTAGATGAGCAACTGTTTATTATGATGGACGATAGTAAAAAATAGTTAGCTTTAGTTCCTGAAATTTCTTTGCGATTGCCTAATTAAGAATAATTATAATTGTATGCTCATTAAAATAAACACATTGGCCTCTGTCATTTAGGTATCGTAAATATTACAATGGTTGGTTCTATGGACGTCTTCCGGTAGTAATGAATAAAACAATGCTGAACCCAAATAGTTCGCTAAATCTTTTTTTCAGAAATTTGGGCGTATGCAGAGCAGTGACACTTGTTTGAATATTCATACACAAAAACAAAAAAGAAACATAACTCAGGAGCAATGATAGTATGCGACTGACACGGGTAGTTTTCGCAGCTTATTAAAGAGTCAATATTTTATGAGCATGGAGGAAGGTAAATATAAGTTTTAAGATAAAATGAACCGAATTATTCGAGAAATCCTCATATAGATTAGAGTAGACGAGAATAAGCACTGAATATTTATTATGAATAAACATGATAAAACTACGTATGCTGATAACATCTACTCGTATACACTATAAATAAAACTGTTGACATGGTGAAGTAACTCAATGCGCACGTTTACCCCACATGACACTATGACTCCATGATTTTCCACATTTAAGGATCGAATTTCTGTGAAACTTATATTTACGGGTGCTTTTTTAGGTGACTGAAAATGTGCCCTGACGAAGGTAATTGGTTCACCAGTAACATGAACTCAAACGCCCGCCCACCTACTTGCACGAATGTTGCCCTTCAACGTGATGCTGGCATGCCTATAAAAAAACTGCCCTCAGTATTAAAACACTTCCACGAACATGAGCTTCATTGTGGATGACTCTGCTGAGTGGCATAAGTGATTTTAATGCATTCTTGTTTGTTTTTCAATTGATGCGGATTGGCGCCACAAAGGTATGATTGCCTTAATAGTTTACTAGGGCGATACTTCTTTTACAAAATGCAAACATTCTGCGTACACAACACACAAACTATAAAGTTAATTTGCCTAAAGTGGCTTACCCAGAGTCAATGCTAAAGCAGAATGGTGAATTCACCCAAGAATAAATGTTGCTGCTCTATCCGAGTACGGATACAGGCTGATTTTTGTCATGAATGCCTAGCTACCTCACGCGCGGATTTCGGTCCCTCATCTTTAGGGCGGCAAAGTACTCGTCACGTTCGTCTTTTACAAAGTGACCGGTAATTGTGACCGTAATCCTGCTCAGTAGGAAACCATGGGCAGCTGCGTTACCTGCACTTGCTCTTTCGACGGCCGACATAGTCATGACTGCGCCATTGTAAAGTGCAGTTCGAAATTGCCAAACGAAAAGTGTCGGAGTTTCCAACAGCAATCTCGGAAGTCTATCGCAGCGGAAAAAAATGTGACTTCTTTGTTACAAAAATAGAATACGCATGTGGTATTCTTAAAGCCAAAACAGCGACAATAGTTTAACGAAACGTAACGCAACATCCTATCTACAACTTGCCGTGTTTTATTTGTGTTGGATGAACTGACTCATGAATAATTGTGTCCTCAGTGCGACTTGGCTGGAAGATATGTAATAAGAATGCTTCAGTTTGTCGCAGTTTTTCTAATTGCCGATAAGAAATAATTGACAATGGAAACTTATTGCGTGTGGCGAACACCCGGTAATACCCAATTGATCAAATCAAGTTTTACCCACGGTTTCATGCGGTGGCGGATTTAAGGAGCGGAGGGGGGGGGGGGGGGGGGGGAGGGGGCGATCGCTTCCTGACTTTTAGGTGTCAAGGTCAAAGTGTTTGTTCTTTGATAAAACGGCATATACTAGTGCTTTTTTCGTAAAATATGCCTCGTTGTTAGTGAAATGGCAATGACCTCTACCATTAATATCGCATTCCCCAGTGACTATAAATTTAGTTTGTGGTGTAACACGTCGTTGCGAATTCCCCCCCTCCCCTCCCCCAAAGCCTCACCCTAAATCCGCCTATGGCTTGAGGCGACAGAAACACTGAAGAAAGAAAATAGCTACTGACGCAATAAAAGTTTTAGAATAGAAAAGGGATGAAAACGCGACAGAATAAGCTCGCCTGAAACATTGAGAGAAAAAGAGTTTAGCGCGGTCGTATATCTTCCTGCGTTAATTGGCATTGTTTCCGCGTGGTACGACGAAGACCTACAGTTGATTTTTTCTTCCCTGTTTGCACAATGCGCAGATGTATTATCTGTTTACGTTGCGCAAAAATATGTTGCGGTAACAAAAAATAAAAGAATTTTTTTTTTGCCTCAGAAGAAAACGTTCACGTATCACAGGGATCGTCTTTCTCCAAAGCTATGTGCAAGGAAAAAAAAAAGAAGCAACAGGTGTTACTTATGCTATTATGTCACTTCAATAAATGATGTAACTATACCTACAAGTATACGTGCTCGATTTGTTTGCTTCTAGCTATATTACGCGGATGCTAATTTTAGTTTTCCCATGGATCATTTGTTGCTCGATTGGAAGTCGTAAAGAAATAGGCATCCCATGATTCTATGATTTATATTTATAAGGGCTTTTCGGTAGAGAACGAATGCACCTGCAGAGCCACATATTCTCTCAGTGGCCATTACAAAAACAATTTTCATTAAAATCGAAATATTTATGCATAGCGATTGACACTGAAAATTCGACGTCTAGAGTTTTTGTTCTAAGAAAATTTGAACTATTTACGCGCCCATGGGCATCCCACATGACTGGCCAAAATTACGGTACTTACTGATACTTAACTATTTGGTTCCATTTTTCTGCAGTTCTTTAATACTAAACATTCGTGGAAATATTCAAATTTATTAAATTTCGGTTATGAAGAGCAGCAACACTTGAACCTGCGGTGATTATGTCAACAATAATTCCCTTTTGTTTCTAATAATTTTTGTAACACTTAGATTCAGATATGATGATCGTCACATTTCAATGTTGTACATATGCTAATCATCATTATTTTAAAGTGATATATTGTTCTCGTGTTTCGCCTTCTTCCAAAGCACACGAAGCAAAGGAGAAATGGTAAATATATGAAACACCAAGAGGAAATAAGACAAAGCAGCTTGATGTTACTGAATGCGTGCTTCTGCGACACGTATTACTCCGCATTTCTTACATCTATAAGCACAATCATTAAAAAAAAAGATAGCTTGGAATCTAACCAGGGCGCATGAAAGCTT